ATTTTGATGGTTATGTTCTGATTTTGCCTAGATTTGGAGCATCCGGAGGCCGATTCGAGGGGCAAAGGCATCGCGAGCTAGAGTTTGGGCCGGATTGAGGTGAGTAATGATTTTAAATGTTGTCCTGATGGTATGAAACCCCGGATTACACATCGTTGTGCTATATTGAGGTGACACACATGCTAGGTGACGAGCGTGGGATCGTGCACCGTTGGGGATTGTGACCTTGTCCGTCCCGTACGACTATTAAGTCGCGTATTTACTTGGAAACTATTTGATATTATTATATTTTTGAAAGCATAATTATGTTTGGGGCTAAATGCCGTGTTTGGGCCTTGTGCCACATATTTGGACCCTTAGGGGATTGTTACTGCTATTTCCTCATTGTTTGGTTTTATATCTATACTCAGTCATGTTATATTATACTGTTTTCATAACTCAACCATGTTTACTCTGTTATAACACTTTAAATGATATTTTGGGCTGAGCATCCTATTTTACTGTGCCCGAGTGGCTTTTAGAGATTTCTGACTAAGTAGGGTCGAGGGCCTGTGTTGTGAGGATCATTATGGGATTGGGCTGCATGGCAGCGGTATTGTACTGATTATGATTATGAGGTCGAGGACTTGAGATGTACGCCACGAGGTGGCTTGTTGATTATGATTATGAGGTCGAGGACTTGAGATGTACGCCACGAGGTGGCTTGATATGAGGCCGAGAGCCTGTTGATTATGCCACGAGATGGCTTGATATTGCGCTTGGGCCGTAAGGGGCACCTCCCCGAGTCTGTACACCCCCAGTGAGCGCGGGTACCTATTGAGATATGAGATATAGCCCGATGGGCTGGTGTTGTTCTATGTTATTGCCCGAGGGGAGGATTTTATGTTTTTATCTCTTCTTGCTGCCTTTCTTTTATTTGTTTAACTGTTTAAAAAGGTATTTTCAAGAAGCTTATTCTGAACTAAGGCATTTTATGAGATTTCACTGTTTTGTTGCACTTTATTGGTTTTATTCTGCGCCTTTATAGCATGTTGTTGTGATTTTACGTGATTTCTTATCGCTCAGTCTTCATTTATTGTTATTACTCACTGAGTTGGAGTACTCACTTTACTCCCTGCACCCTGTGTGCAGATTCAGGCGCTTCAGGTCCTGCTAGCGAGGGTTGATAGCTTCCAGTAGATTTCCGGAGTCCACCAGGTAGCTGCTCGGCATTCGCAGCCTAGTGTTTCTCCCTCTTATCATTATTTCTTTCCCTCATACTGGATTTTGTAATAGACTATGTATTCCCTTTTCCACATTTCGAGACTTATGTTAGATGCTCATGACTGGTGACACCCCGTTTTCGGGCTGTGTTGGTTTTTCTTTCGCAAATTATACTATTTCACCTCTATTTGAGATTATTAGCATGTTAATGACTTGAATTGTGTTATTATAATTGTTTAGAATGAATTGGGAGTTGTGTCGGCTGGACTTGTCTTCACGAGGCGCCATCACGATCGGGTCTGGGTTTAGGGTCGTGACATAACGTGCCTCGTTAAAACCTTAACTAAAATAAAACCTAGTGGAAAAAAATTCTAGTAAAGAGAAAAAGAGTACACATGTTTAGAAATACGCCTTTTGGTTGCCTCGTTAAAAATCTTGCAAGGAAAATCCAGTGGGACAAAATCTAGTAAGGGAAAAAGAGTACAACGCGTATTAACTCCCCCTGATGAGCGCATCAATTCAGATATTTGCGTCTTTGCATTCCAATCTTGTGCAGCATCTTCAAAAATTATTGGAGTAGATTCGATAAACAAATCAGTCATATTAACTTGAATGGATTTGTTTCACCTTGAAATAATCATTCCTGATATAGATGTATTGTCTTCATATGATCTTGTTGGAATCGTCATTTCAATATCTTCACATAGGGGTGAAAACTCTTGCTATCATATTATCATGCTTATAGTTATAGCAAGATACATATGTGCACAAATTGCACTTAGGATATGGTACTTCAGGACCAATAATTGTATATGTTTTAAGCGATTTAAATCCTTCAGGATTGTCATATAAGTTAAGTCATATGCGCCATATAAATAAACTTTAGATGCATATTAGGTTTTCATGTCATGCTAGACATATAAGATAGATAAAAGTAATTGCACACACAATTGACTTTATACTTTCAAGTGTTTAAACTACAGGTCGTAAACTACATGTCTTTAACCAATTTTATTTGAATTGTGTCTCTTCTATTTGGCTAATATTTTTGTGTCTGTATTCGACATACTTAAGATCCTCATCTATATTTAGCGCTATGATAGATGTCGTCGACAAACATTTTAGATCGGTTCCAATATTTTTTCATAAGGACATAACATAGAGATCTCTTCATTCATATTTTCAGGTACCTGAACCTCTCCTGAGATTTTATGAAGTGTTATGTCATGTGATCTTCTAGATCACTTGACTCCTTATTATGATCATTTTGATCATTTGCTCATCTTCTTTATCAAGAAGTTTATTTAAAACCGATTTGTCTATAAGCTTTAAGCGTACCATAGACTTTGTCCTTCTAGGACTTAATAGAAGCATTTGCAATGAGAATATAGTTACTTTCTTTGGGTCCGCAAATGCGTCTGGCATGCTTTGCAATATACTGCAAATGAATTATCTTTTTACGAACTTCAAGTTCATATTGTTTTATTCAAGGATCTAGATGTACAAATGATAATCCATTCCACGTAACTTTTTCTCAACTGTTTATCCTTTCCTCCCCCCTCATGTTAGAAAACTAACTTACTTTCTCAACTTTTAAAAATCCATCTTTATGCATTATGGTGTTAATTAAAAATATACACCACACATTAATAATAATAAGATGAATTATTTGGTTCCTGACCCTGAACCACTTGTGAGGGGAGAATGTAATATACTTTCGTATATAACGTATATCAAACTGATATATATAACTTTGTTCTCATGAGAAATAGTTTAACTATTAAGTGGAGGCACTCAATAAATCATCTTGCTAAACCAGTTGTGATGTAAACCAACTTATCAAAATAAACTATCTTGAATAGAAAATCTGAAAATTATGCTCTAAATTAAATAATTGAGCAGGTCACCTTGCAAACACCAGATTGCAGGTTAACAATGATCACACATGTAACCATCTCATAGATGCATCTTATGTGGTATACATGGCAGGTGAATGGGCCCATATTCACTTTTGATATTTCCAGCATTCATGGGATTCAATCCCAATTTTAGTTGGTCTATTAATTAATAAACAAGCAACATAAAAGAATTCGTAAAGAATTTTCTAGTTCTTTAATATTTACCCATGTGAATTCTCTTTTATTTTTGCACACCATACTTAAATTAACATGGCTAAAACAATTATGGCAACTGAATAAATTATCAATATTGATAAAGTTCAGGTTTACACCATGACGTGTGCAATTATCAATAAACTTAAGTTTATTATGATATGAGTTTTTATATCAATAAACTTCTACTTTATTGTGGCATTCTTTTATTTATGTAGTACAAATTGGAGAATAAAGCGGGTAGTTTTTCACATACATATTACCATGCTACAAGTTGTAGTAATAGAACATATTAAATCTTTCCTTTATTTATAGTCTCAATATAATCAACCGCTTTTGCGTATACTTTGGAAACTAAATAAGTTTCTTTGAGACTTACTACAACACAATACCTTATTGATAATCAATTGTGTTTCTCCAAAATAGTATAATTGGCTCTTGCAGAATTCTCAATTAATTTTATAATACCATATATTCATCAATATCCATTTGGTGAATATCCTTCTCAAAGAGAAAGTTATACCATTATAGTCATTGTCAAAATTATATGCAAGATCCGTTTCTTGCATTACCGTTTTCTTTTAATAATCACAATGCCAAAATATTTTGGCGTACAATGGGTATGTGAACAATGACCATTCATGCAATAATAATGACATTATTTTCTTATTTTCCTTCAAACCTCATGCTAGAGGTGAGTGTGGTATATTCACTACCACCAGCACGTTCATATTCTTCCAAGAATGAATATGTATTCATAAAGCACATGTTATCACATTCACATCATGAATGGACCATAATCTTCTATATGTGCTTTATAAAATCTCATGTCAAATCAATGACAAATATTACTTTCATAAATTGAGGGATTATTTTGAGAATTTTTATTGTTCTTATTACTACAATGATGACGATTATAATTTCGTCTATTGCCACGTCCACGTCCATCGATACATTCATAGTAATAATTTTGTCTTCTTTCAGACTTATCACGTACTGCTATCACATACTGCTATCACATTCTCTTAAGGGAATGAGAATGAAGCAAATTCAATGGGACGGATTTCCAATTCTTTGCCCACAATCATACATGAATTTGATCATGACAAGGCATAGAAATTTTACCACTTTGGGTGGTTATAATTTCTTACAAACTCCATTAGAGTTACAATCAAAATTTATTGTCTTTGCTTGTATTTAAAATTAAATTATAGAATATCAAGAATTTAAAAGAGAAAAATAAAGTAAAATACTTACCTTAAATCCAGAATTTAATCATGAAGGAAGTTATGCTCAATCCCAAAGCTTTTACTCAATTGGTTAGAGTCTCGTGCTGATAACGTGTTAAGAAACAATAAAAGAAGAAGAAGAATATTGCAGAGAAAAGTAGGGAGAGAGAATTAATATTGATTTGGGATGAATCCCTCTATTTATAGGGAAAGAGTTACTTAGCCACCAAGTAAAATCCCTAAAATCTCTCTACAATATATACATTCACCTTAAATATAATTCTGTTTATAACATGCTACAATTATTTCGGATATTTCCGAAAAGAACCTTCTTGTTAATTTATTTTTTTAATTCAGTAATTTAATTTTCTTTGGAAAATTTTAATAGACCATACGACAAATATTGGCTGTCCGATTAAAATGACGGTCTATAGTGGATCCATGTTGGCGACCACAAACTGTCACGTTCTGGTGTTGATCGGACCATTTCTCCTCAATATTTTTTAGTTCCCTCTCAGCTCCCATTTCACGTTCCGCCTTGCTACGCTACTCTCTCTTTCTCTCTCTATCTCTGTAGTTCTTACCAAATTTCACGACTCTCCGAGAGAAAATGAGCAAGGGACCTGGACTTTTCTCTGATATTGGCAAGAAAGCCAGAGGTAATTCTGCGATTTGTTTACTAATTTCATCTTCTTTTCATTTTGATTTCAATTTTGTTACTCATGAGCAACGACTATATTAGTTAAGCAGATGAATTATCATATATAGATGCATATACTAACACTCGCCACCTGATATTTGATTTAAAATCGACAGATCTGCTGACAAAGGACTATATCTCCGATCAGAAACTATCTATTTCAACCTACAGTGACACTGGAGTGGTACGATCTTATTGACTTTTAGCTCTCGTTGATCTTTATTTCGTAATAGTTCATATCATTGCCGGCGAGAATCTCGTTTTTGGTTTATTTAGGTGTTGAATTTGTACGCTTAGGGTTTTATGAAATCTTCTTATTGTTGCAATTCATGATTTGAGTTGTCGTTTGGCTTGAAGTCCTGATGCAACGTCTTAACTCCTTTTCCTATTTACAATTTTCTGTTTCTCAGTATAACAGTGATTTTTTCTCAGTATAGCTATGGGAAAACAGCTATTCGTCTATGATAAATTGTAAGATATCTAGGACTTTTTTTAAGTGTTATGAATTTTTAATTCAAAAATGACAGTGCGTAAGTTTAAACTTTAGTTACAAAACACTAAAGTTGGATAATGCTGTTTAGCAAGGCTATAAATTATATCTTCACTGACCATGGATCTCATATTCTCATCTAGGAAAATGGATTTAATCATAGCTTCCAATTTTTTTAAGGGTATTGCTGATTCTATTGCAGAAATAGTACTCTGTACTATTTAGATGTGATATGCCTTTGATTCTATATCGCAGCTATATTTCTATCCATCTCTTCCGTTTACCTCACAAAATGATCAAACATCACCTTTAACTTAGCTCAGTCCTTGATTCCTGTGATATCTTATCGGAGTTAATATATGTGTCTCCCAGGGGATGTGTTTTAATCATTTGAGGTAAAGGAGGATATTTTTTCATCATTTGTGGTAAATGAAGCTGCTGATGCTTCCATTTCACAGAAAAATATTAGAGCTGTTTAGCCCCCTCTAGGATTAGCTCAATCGGCAAAGGTTGAGGACTTGTGTCTTAGGTCACAGGTTCGAGCTCTGCGCCAAACAATCTAACTCTGGTGTATAAGTGGAGAAGGGTAGAGGGGTAGGCCCATCTTCCCCGATTTTCGAAGGCTGGATTGGCCAACAGGGTAGACTCTAGATGGATTTCCCGGACATCAAAAAATATTAAAGCAGTTGACATTTTATGAAGACCAAAACTTACACAAGCGGAGAGTGGAGACCAATGCTATACCTTAGTATTTGGGAACTTCAAACTTGGCACAAGATATTCAATATTTTGGCACTGTAGATGCAGTAATATTCTAACAATTGACTTGTTCCTTTATACTTTTGAAGCTGAAACAAAAGGCTATAGAATTTTGATGTGAACACTAGGTGTTTAAGTAGTATTGATTTGGCAAGACACAGAGAGAAAGTTCTACCTCTTCTTTTCAATGTTTATTTGCCGTACTTGTCTGAAGTATATTTTCATTAAAGATTTGCCGGAGTTTGTAAGAGCCGAGGGCCTATTGGAAACAGTCTCTCTATCCTCACAAGGTAGGGGTAAGGTCTGCGTACACACTACCCTCCCTAGATCCCACGGTATGGGATAAGACTGAGTATGTTGTTGTTGTTGTTGTTGTATTTGCCGGAGTTTGTTCTTGATGTTGAAAAAAGAAGTAGCAAATTCTTGAGAAGTCCAACTTAATGGAGGGAGCCACATAAAAGGAAAATGTACATTATATTCCTATTCTTGCAGTTTCTGAGTGATGGAAAATGGCGAGATTTTGACTATTGACTTTTTATCTTCCTACTATGGAAGAGTGATGAGCAATCTACCATTAGAAAATTTCTAAGCAGACAATTTTTACCCAATTTTTGAAGAGCTAATATATATTAGGGTCGTTTCTTTGACCTCTCGTCAGGTTGAGCAAAATAATGTCCTCTGCTCTATTTCAAGAAATACATGAGACCTCTCCTCTAGCTTGATATGTTGTGAAATGATCTCTTATACCATCGACATTCATTTAGAGAATATAGAGAAAGTTACAAATGATGAAAACTCCGACAGAGCTAATCATATTTACCTTAAAAATAATAGAGAAGACAGATTAGTTGAGTTCAAGTAGATGATTATCCCAAGCCGATAAAATTGTAATTGCGTCACTCAACAGTCAACTCTCCTCTTCCCCTTCCCCTAATGGTACCTTCTTCTTACCACTGTGCCTTCTCCTCATCATTACAAATGCCACCCCTACCCTTACCCAAATCTGAATGTGTGAACACTTCCATTTGTACCTTCTCAAAACCTGAACATACCATGCACTGTCTCCCTTCCACCATCAGAGTTCGCAAGCCCCTCCCTACCAGACCTTCACCCTCCTTTCCTAAATCAAAGCACCCTTCCTGTTCTCCTCCCAAATCCCAGCCTCGTATAACCCTCTCACCATTATCCCCACAAGACCACCCATTCTTCCCCAACACCAGCACCTCCCATTGCAAGCTGCACCTTGCCACGCCTCTATTCATCTGGATGCCTTTAGCCCCACCACCCCACCCCACCTGCTCAAAAAGGAAAAAAGATGACAATGCGTGGAAAGAGCAATTAAACTTAAACTTTGGTGTTTACATGCTTATCCCTAGATTGAAACTCGATGCGTCAGACTTCTTATCTTTCTGGTACAGACAAGAGAGTGCACATGGTACTGAGAAGCTTGTGCAGTTTATGGCCTCATTGTATCATATGGTTTTTGCCTTTCTTAGGATATTGCTTAAGATCCATGCGCAATCTTCTAGGCCCATCTCTGTCTCATGATAGCAGTCTCTTGGTGCTGTACTTTTTAGAAATAAAATAATCTCCTTTGTTGTTCAAAAAGAAAAAAAAAAAGGGAAATGATAAGAAAGAATTCGAGTAAGCTCCCATATGGGCATTTTCTAAAATACAGGATGATTCTTAAAGCATTTAGCCTTTTCACCTTAAGGTGGCACCTATGTTTGGCTGACTTGAAAAAAAATCTTTTTTCCTAAAGTAAATGGTCTTATTCGCTCCAGTAGATAGTTTCAGCTTTTTATGTGCAAAATTTTCTCTATTTTGTTTTGCCACATTAATAGATCAACTTGAATTCCCAATTTCCCGTTCTTTAATCTTGATTTCTCGATATAGGCCCTTACATCAACTGCAGTAAAGAAGGGAGGGCTTTCAACTGGAGATGTTGGAGCACAGTACAAATATAAGAACACTTTGATTGATGTCAAAGTTGATACAGGGTCAAACGTGAGTTGCTCATGCCGTGATCTTCTTTGCAGAATCATACCCGTCTCTTTGTCATTTTTTTCTGTTTTACGTCTTCACATTTCAACCTTTTGCTTGCAGATCTCAACTACTCTTACTCTCAACGACATTGTCCCCTCAACAAAAACTATTGCCTCTCTGAAGTTCCCTGATTACAGTTCTGGGAAGGTGAAAACTACTCATATGTTATTGCTATGATCAATTGCCAGAAATTTTAGAAGTTTCCCCTCTGAAACTTGAATTTGGTTGTTCTTACAGCTAGAGGTTCAGTACTATCACCATCATGCTGCCTTTAGTACAGCTGTCAGTCTGAATCAAAGTCCTACAGCTGATCTCTCGGTCACACTTGGTACTCCCACTTTCGCCATCGGTGCAGAGGCGAGTTATGATACTGCAGGGGGTAAACTTGCAAAATATACTGCTGGCATTAGTGTGACAAAACCAGATTCCTGTGCTGCTATAATACTGTAAGTTAATCAGTGTGAGCATTTGTATATCTATGAAACTAAAGCATAAATGTTAAGAAGATTTAAGTTTGACATATCTGTTGCCTACTTTTTTCCCTCAGGGGTGACAAAGGGGATACGATAAAGGCATCATATATACATCATCTAGATGAAGTGAAGAAGAGTGCTGCTGTGGGCGAGATCACTAGAAGGTTCTCCACAAATGAGAACACTTTCACAGTTGGAGGATCATATGCTGTTGATAACCTGACAATTCTGAAGCTCAAGCTCAATAATCATGGCAAGCTGGGGGCTCTACTGCAGCATGAGCTCATTCCGAAGTCATTGTTGACTATTTCTAGTGAGTTTGACACCAAGGCCTTGGATAAGACACCCAGGTTCGGTGTGGCCCTTGCTCTTAAGCCTTGAACTGCATCTTCGGATGTGTACAACCAAAAATTTGTTTGGGGTAGTGCCTGGAGGACAGGTGCTCAATAAATAGTTCAACAAACTGGTGGTTTTTTTCACTGATTAAATGATTTCTGGAAGAGTTTCTCCGATACTAGGACCTTTTTATGGTCTTTCTTTAGTTTTCCTTGTCTTTTCATTCCCTTTTGAGAAAAGTATAGAGATGAAGAGTTTTTTGTGTTCCCTCTGGAAGAGTTTTTTTGTTTGGCATGATGCAATAGCTGACTTATCGATTGCCTAAATTTAGATTTAACTTGCTAAATTGTGTCTTTTGGATTTGCTTGCTGTGATTTGGATAATCTGTCGTTTAAACTGAATTAGCTCCACTCCTAGTTTTCCGAAGATAAGTTCGGAGCCTACTGAGCGTCTTATAGCCTGTTTAGCCAAGCTTATTTTGGGCCAAAAGTGCTTTTTTTTAGCTGAAAGTGTTTTTTTTTTAAAAAAAAAATTGAGGTGTTTGGCCAAGCTTTTGGAAGGAAAAAAGTGCTTTTGACCAAAAGCACTTTTGAGAAAAATACATTTAGAAGTAATTTTTAAAAGTTTGGCCAAACACTAATTGCTGCTCAGAAGTGCTTTTGGTTTTTGCATCTTGGCTAAACGGCTATTAGCCTCCTCGGTGTGAAGCTCTTTCAATAGTTGCATTTCCACGTGCTCTGTGGCTAAAAATGTACTACTAGATGAAACTTATAGAAAGAAGTGTCATACCATCCCTACTACATTACCTATGTCATTTTAGACCAGACTTTCACATAGTACTAAATTCTATACCTATGCTAACTGGAAGTGCATTTGTCATTTAACTCCTTTGATCCGTCTATCTGGTGTTACGCCTTAAGATTACTCGTAGTCTTAGAAAGCCTTAGCTAAGAAGTAACAACTTAAGCCTTCCAGCTTCTCTAGAAAACAAAACCACTAACAACCAACTTTTACAACTCAAGAAATCTAAGTTTGCACAGTGAGACTACTCTAAGCAAAAGAGAAAAACTGTCAAACAAAAATAGAAAACACTATGTTGTCAACTAGTATAATAAGTGACAATCATACCGATTATGCAAAGAAATGACCAAATCAAATTGATTATGCAATTTCGGGAAATAGAAGGACAAGGAGTATCATTATAGGAAGTATGCGAACTTGTATAGAGAAGATATAGGTCTAGTGCCTCACATTTCAAAGCTTTTCTTCTATTCCGCCCAAACCATCAGAACAGGAGCAAATACACCATTCTGATGGTAGGTGCAACACACTTTCAATTCGACTGCATATAAATAATTAATGAGTTCATAAGAAAATATATTTATACCAAGTCCAAATTCATTGTTATAAAGATTGGTTAATATAGCATTAATCTCCACCTACATGCTTAAAACCTTGAATTCACCTTTGCATCAACCACTCCAACTTTTTATGATAAACGTGGGATGGTCGTTTTCAACATCAATCACTCCTTTGAGTTGTCGAAGGCAATGCAGCAATGAAGGTATAGGAGAGAAAAACTAGAGTATTAAAGATGACTGCTAGCTGAAGTAGCAGCTGCAAAAGCAGAAAATGCAGCAAGAGGACAAATGCCCAATTAAAGATGACTGCTAGCTGAAGTACTGACATTTTGTTCCAACTCCTGCCTAATATTCAAGTACTAAAGAAAATCAAGCATTAGATTTAGTTGCCCAGTGAACAAAGAATCATCACACCAGCTCTCAGCCGAGCTTCAATTACATATTAGATAGTTGGCAACGGATGCAATCACTATAGATAAGAAACCTGAATACAGCTCAAAATCTACATAGTTCTGAACTACTAATAGACACTTCAAACCTAGATCAGACACACAAATTTGGGCCCATTTTAACAACCATATTGAGTGTGCCAACAAACATGTTAAATGCATAAACTAGTAGAGCAAGCAAACTAGCACAACAGTACAACATTTTTGTATAACAGGGGAATAGACACAGGGCAGCAGATATAAGTATAGGTAACCCGATACTTAACGAGAAAGACATTTGATTATAGCAAAATTTGCATACTGTTATCATAAAATACTGCAACAAAAATTCATAGTTTCAGAAATACTCTCTTCAGCTATCCCAACAAGCATCAAGTACTAAAAGCAACAAAATATAACAAGACAAAAACACAAGAGGTAGCAGAAAAGTTAATCAACGGTCTGCATGATATCCTCGGCGGTGAACTTAGTACCCTTATCCTTATCAGCAGCAGCACGACCCTTAGCTTTACGGTCAAGAAGAGACTTACGGTCCTTGTCGAGCCTGAGCTTGGTGACGACAACCTTGGAAGGGTGAATACCAACGTTAACGGTAGATCCGTTAACTTTCTCTCTAGTAATGCGCTCAATGTGAATCACCCACTTCTTACGGTAAACTTGAACAACCTTGCCCTCACGGCCCTTGTAGGTCCCACGAACAACCTGAACCTCGTCGTCCTTCCTCACCGGCATAGACCTGACGTTGTACTTGGTTCGCAAATCGGATGACAAAGGTGCGCTCATCAACACGCGACGAACGCTGGAAGGAGCTGTGAAATGAGCCTTCCTACTCTTGCGGCGGGACGACGATACTCTTGGATTGTACTTCATCTTCGCCGATTTCTCTCTCGCTCTCTCTCGCTCTCTCGCAAATGTGGCCGGTGTAGACGAAGCGATGTTAGGGTTTTTCTGATCTTATATGGCACAAAGGGGGCTGGGAATTTCTAGGGTATCTATTGGGCCCTTCTATAGTGGAAGGCCTGTTATTTGGGCTTGTATTTACGGAACGGTGTTAAGTTAGATACTTGTAAGTTTATGGCCCAACTGAATGATATTGGATTTAACTTGATGTACTTGAGCTTTTCTCGGTAGAAATGACACCAGGTAGCCACTCTAAAGCTATTTAGAAGTTAGCTATTGTATCCTGAATTTTCGTTTTTCATTTCAATTTTTCGGGATAAATTATCCTGAAACTAAGCTAGTGTGGAGAAAGATTTGGTTGAAACTTGAAAAAAGAGATTTTGAAGTTGTGTTAAAAAATAATTTTTGAAAGTTGAAGTTGTGTTTAGGCATGCATTTTATATGAAAAAATTTGAAATTTTGCGGGTGGAAGATAATTTTTCACCCCAAAACTGCCCTAAACTAGTTTTTGGAAACTTGAATTTTTTTTTAAAAGCTGATCATATTTCATGTACAAACAATGTTTTCAAATTTTTTTGGGAAAAAAACCCAGCCCAAATCTGTGGTCAAACGGGAGATTTTTAATTTTAATTTTTAGAATAAAATAAGTACCCATTAATTCCTTAATAGCAGCCCTAAGAATATTTGTTCGTGTACTTCCCTTTTTTTGACAGAAGCAAAATTTCAAAAACTTTACTGCACTGATTCTGTCCAAACAAGAGGTGGTCCTCGGTGAATACTTGTTTGCCTCTTTATGTTTCCCCTCTCAACTGTGGAAATAAAGTCATAAGCTTTCTCTTTGAGTGGTTGCATTATAAAACTTCATTAGCTTGGGTTATTTCAATTCTCTAATATACTTTCACACAGGATGATCTAATTTTAGGGTGAGCATTGTATATCCTATTTTACTAAAATATACTTTCTTCGTTCACTTTTACTTGTCTATTATTGACTTTGCAGATCCATTAAAAAATAATAAGTGTATAATTTACCATAATACCCATATTAATTGGTGTATAATCTTTATTGATTTGGAAAATAATTTGGAATGAGTAATTAATGCTAAGGGCAAAACAGGAAATAAAAGATTTTTCTCTTGATATACGAAAAGTGACAAATAAAAATGAAAATTTATTTTTAAAATACTTAATAACTAAAAGTGAACGGAATGAGTACAATAACTTTCTCTCTTAGTTTTTTATTAATTAGATGACATTTTAGTTACCCATTTAACGACATTAAATACATGACAGTTCAGTCTCAGGCTATTTAATTTCTTACTCCATGGCCTAGACAAATAACTTGGTCCTCGACAAAAAGAGGAAGAAGATGAAAGGTCATATTAGCATCATTTTACTAGAGCAAAACTAGAAGCCCTATTTTTTCTCGAAATGGGTTGTGTATTCCGAACAAGTATAGTGGTTGGCATACACGTTCTTGAACTAGTTTTAACTTTGGGAAACTACCAGCTATGTCCTTTTAGAAGTAAATTATTATGAAATTGACCAATTCATTAAATATTACTAATATTAGTCAAATGTTACTAATATTAGCCGATTAGTTATTTGTAGATAAAAAAAGGTTAAATCTTTACTTTTTTTGAGTGGATTAAAATAGATTGGGTACATCTTAAGGAGTTTGAATCTCAGTTTTTGAATAATTTGGTGGAGTTTTGAGTTGGTTTGAATTGAAAATTCAAAGTAAAAGATGAAATATGAAGAAAAAAATAATGTGCATCACACTATGTATCAAATGTGTATCACATGTATATCCATGTATACCTGTGTGTGTGATATATGGGTGCATGTTTGATACATGTGTCGCAGAAGAATTTTTTAAACTCGATTTTAACTACGAATTTTGATGCCAAATCAGTCCAAATCACTTCCAACCTTTCTCAAAATTTGTCTATTAACTTATCTATATGTTTTCAATGAATTTCAACCATACCCATAGAAAAATGACCTTTTTGCCTAGATTTTTGGAATCTTGGATAGATTTTTTTTGTATTTTATCACATTGTTTACTATCTCATCCATGAAATTTTCTTTCCCTCTTGCATCTAATGTTGTAATCACGCTTAAAAATATAGAAGGAGATCTTTGCGTGTGATTCTTGGAGAGAAAGAACCTTATTTATTTGGGTTTTTAATTTTTATACTATGTGCTTGGCTAGTTATAGTAAGTGTATGATTAATGGCTAGAGATTGGTAAGTTGAAACTTATTTGGGACATTTATGTAAGATTCTCAAAATAACTTTTCTAGCGTCTCTTGAACTCTTCCTTTAGCTTTCATAAGGCCTATTTTGACAAGTCTTTTTAAGTAACGCTTCTTTTAGAGGCGTACGTGCTTTTTTGGGGCTATTTGCAGCCATACCCTATATTTATGCCACCTTTTAATATGTACCCTATTTTTAAAAAATATTGATTTTGTAGCCAGCTGACAAAAAATCCGTAATAGTATGACCATTATACCCCCGACAAATCATATAAAAAAAATCACTTTACGGTTCTCCTCCATCACTCCGTCTCTCCTCAGTCCTCTCGCAAACAAGAAATTTGAACCAGATTCAAATTCCAAATTCAAAACTACAAAAT